CTCAATTCTGAAGATGGTAACGGAATGAAACTACAGTTCATGTTGTAGCAGCACATCAATCCAGCGACTTACCTATTATACGCTTCATATGTAGGACTTGGTCTCTGTGCATAACTGCAACAAAACATAGAGGACATCAGGGCAATTTCCAGTAGTTTTTAAAATTCTCACGTGTGACCAATGATGAACGAAAAATCTAACATATTACAAAATCAGTACATGAAATTAAATCTATTTACATTCATACAAACTCTTCACTAGTTACATTGTCTTTTATCTAACATTTGCAATCAACTTTGGAACCTGCAAAATACGCAGAATATGAGTGTACGATATAGTGGCGAGGTTACCTTGGCGGGCTTAGTTTTCTTCCTGCTAATCGTTTTTCTCTAAAAGCTCGTCGCTCTCTTCTGGCTTTCCTGCCCTGCACAAAAAAGTTATCCACAGCGTCAACAAACGAGCCATCAATACTGGTTAGTATGGTACATGCACATGTGCACATAACATAGAGACAATTGCATGCAAGCACACACGCATACACACAAGCTGTACTACACCGTACTACACCCACCACACCACATCAAAAATGTATGCACGCACACACACCACACCGCACCACACCAAGTCAAGCACGCACGCACACGTTTCGATAACGAACGAAGATGACGAGAAGAAAAAGTAAGTGTTTCAAGCCTTTCTTTTGTAATTTGAATTCTGGGCCGGGTGAAAATACAATGTAAAATATAACAGGAAGGCGAATACAGATTGCTAAAATATTAATAAATAAATAATAATATTCTTCGCGACAAGAATGTGAACTTTGAAAAAAAATCGGCTACAAACCAGGATTCTGCTTCCGGTCTATGAAAGGTTCAGCCAAGGGACAAGGCTGCCGATTTGCGTACACGTATCGAGGACCAAGCACTCCCAGTAGGACACGCAAGGCCAGCGAGAGCTGGTAGAGCCGAAGGACAAGGACGCGATCAGCGATCATGGGACCCCTCGCGTCGGCGACCCAGGTAACGGGCCGCCTCGCGTGTCGCACGGACCCCTACGAATGTTCGTTAATGACCGTGTGAATTAATGGCCAGGCGCACACGGTATGACGCGCGCTTTCAAATTGCAGCCAAAAATAATCAGCGCAACCCCTCGATATTAATTCTCTCTATTTGGGGGTCGATACCCTGTGGTTTAGCGGAGAGAGTAGCTGCTTGTGCAGACGTGTATCGGCCTGGCATCACTGTGAGAGTGCAGAAGGTGCGCAAGAAACTGTGTGGAATTGTGTTTTTAAACACTGGCTTTTTGGCGACCACGTTTCCAAACTCGTTAGGAGCATTTCTGCGCCGGGGCGTTTTAGCGAGTCGTTCATCGCTTTACGCCCAAATTGCGTTTTGTGCCGAAAATTTTTACGTGGCTGTAGAAATCAGCTTCTAATGCCACAGTGTAAAGGCGTGTGTGTGATGCTGGGTGCGTGCGTGCGTGCGTGCGGCTGTCCGTGCGTGCCCGTGCGTAGCTGTGCCGTGGCACTGTAGTGCTAATTGATAAAGACGTCATTTATCGCACGCCTGTGTCGAAAGCTGGCAAACGTAGTTTCTGCTCTGACGTGATGTATGCGCAACCACCAATGTTTCAGATTGACGCTCGCGTAGAAGAGTGAACCGTCATGAACAGGAGCAGATTTTTGAATCGAGGGGCGAGTAAACTTATTGTCGGTCGCGATGGGCGACTACATCAGGTGAGCAGGGTTTCTTTCTACATAAGAGCACAGTGGCCGCACCGCCGGCTGTGTGAAATTAACATCCCCCCGCTGTGAAAACTTTCCTGTATTTACCCGCCGTTGTCAAAATAGATGTCAACCACCTAAAAATAAATAGATCACCACGTGCCTTCTGGCATATTAATCTAAGGATTCAAACTGCCATGTGCGTTTATTGAGTCATGTGACGCAGAGTACGCACGCCTTTTGAATCCATCTGTGCGCAATTTTCCTCCCAAACTGGCCATTACCTCTTTTGTCTAATTTTCCCTCAGAAGAAACCCTGGGTGAGTAACACGTGCTGCTCCCTAAACCAGGGGTGAGCGACATACGTCCTGCCCGACCTGACAGCTCGCCTATTTAATCTGTCAGACACGCCGTTGCCATCAATTGATTCAAAATGAATAGGCTCGTGTTTAAAATCCATCATTAGCAGGGTTCTCCCCAGGATGAAATTGAAACAGGGGGAGGGGGAGGGGAAGGGAGAGGGGGAGGCGAGAGGCGAAAACAAATAGGGGGTCCGGGGCCTGGTCGCGAATTCACTGGCCAGCTAAGACAAGTCCGCACCTGCAGCTACAGACACACATGCATACTATTGACTATATATAACAAACATTATATTATAGTTATATCATAAACTACTATAAACAACTATAGCCTACTATAACAACTATAAACTACTATAACAACTATATATAACGTTGTTATTATATAGTCAATAGATGC